AAAATTTTTTTCATACTTTTGGGCGTCTTGCACGGATTAATTTTATTTCCATTATTTCTTATGGGGAAAATTCATTCGCATAACGATTATTTCGCATAACGATGAGCCCTCTTGCACGGATTAAAATCGTTAACCGGGGGTCCACTGTACTATGGATATGAAGAAAGAGATCATTGCTAAGGGGTTGGAGGTTAGTGGGGAGGATATGGTAGAGTTGGTGGAGGACGACAATGATGAACTAACTACTGATGAGCTGCAAGATCATCTTCAACAGCAAGAGGCCAGACCTGTGGAAACTGCTCTGGAGGAGGGGATACAGACATTGAGGAAGTTGCCTACTTCAAAGATTAAGGAAATGTGTGCAGTGTAGCTTAGTGCAAACCTTTTTTGATGAAAATCACCCTGACTCAGCTAATGCAAGCTGTGTTGGCAGCCTGTACACTGGCAATGTTATGGCCCATTTTAGGAAAGTCTTAACCCTTTGAGGGTCGACAGGCCCTCTCCGAGACTCGTTCTCAGGGTCGGCCAAATTTAAAAAAAAAAAAAATTCTTATGAAAAGATAGAGAATATTTTCCCGATCATAATGACACCAAAATTATGAAATTTGATGGAAAACTTACGGAATTATGCTCTCGCGAAGTTAGCGGTCTCGGCGATGTTTACGCATCGGCGATTTTGCCCACTTTGAGCCCCATTTTCGGCCAATTCCACTGCACTAGTCGTCAAAAAACATGAATATTTCGCTAGAACTCCATTTTTTCTATCGAATGAGTGCAAGAAACCACCCATTTACCAATTTCAACTATCCAGTACAGTGGTCAGAATTTAGCAATTTTGCCAATATCACACAAATTTCAAAAGATGCCAATTTCTGAATAGGGTCCAGAATAAACAAGAAAGACATTCCTGGCACTAAAATGACATTTCCTTTGTTCATTAGTCACATCTCAAGGCCCCTCTTACATTCTTTTGCTTTCCACTTTGAATTTGTATTCTCACAAAAAATAGAAGATTTACTGTTATGCAGACTACTGCATTAGTGTAAAAAAATGGTATAAATAATATTGCCGCACTTGCAAAAGAATATTAGACTCACCAGTTGACTTGTATTGGACGCTTGGCATGATTTGTTTACTTTTGAACTTTGGTAAAAATCGAACATTTCTGCTACTTTGAGCTCAATTTCAAGGTACTTTTCATTGTAAAACCAGTCAAAATCATCTCAATTTCTGTAACATGTCTTCCATTCTATAAAATGAGACCAAGAAAACTAGAATACAACAATAAATACCACATGAAAATGCAGTGCAAAGTTGCTGTTTTATTCCAAAAAAACAGTCAAAGTTTTTTTTTTCTCATTATGCACTGTGTGCTGCAGGATTTTTTTTATACTGTGCACACTGACCACATAGACCCATTCTTTCATATGTAGGCCTACCAGCTTTGTCCCACTAGATTTGAGGGTGCTAGTACAGTGGACCCCCGGTTAACGATTTTAATCCGTGCAAGAGGGCTCATCGTTATGCGAAATAATCGTTATGCGAATTAATTTTCCCCATAAGAAATAATGGAAATAAAATTAATCCGTGCAAGACGCCCAAAAGTATGAAAAAAAATTTTTTTTACCACATGAAATGTTAATTTTAATACACACAAACTGAAAAAGGCATGCACAATTACATGACACTTACTTTTATTGAAGATCTGGTGATGATTGATGGGATGGGAGGAGGGGAGAGCATTATCTTCTTACTGTTTAGAAGGGGAATCCCCTTCCATTAGGACTTGAGGTAGCAAGTCCTTTTCTGGGGTTACTTCCCTTCTTCTTTTAATGCCACTAGGACCAGCTTCAGAGTCACTGGACTCTGTCGCACAACAAATCTGTCCATAGAGCTCTGTACCTCCCGTTTCTTCAAGACTTTCCTAAAATGGGCCATAACATTGTCTTTGAAATAGTCACAAAGCACGGTTTTGCAACAGCTGTGTCAGGGTGATTTTCATCTATAAAGGTTTTTGCAGTTCAACCACTCTGCACACATTTCCTTAATCTTTGAAGTAGGCACAATGGATTCCACAACTGGCATAGCTTCTCAGGTTAGCCCCAAACCCTTCAAAATCTTTCTAATTCCATACTAATTCTCACCCTTTTTACCACAGGGTTGGCACTAGAAGCTTTCTTGGGGCCCATGGTCACTTATTTTCCAGAAACACCACCGAAAACACTGTAATAATACGAAATATTCCGAGTGTATGCTTGGATGTTACCGCGGAGGCTGGCTGGTAAACAATGGGACGGCCGGCACATGTGAGGGCACATTGGACGCGTCTCGGACGAAAATCGGTATGCGGTTTTAATCGGTATGCGGGGCAAAAATTTTGCGATAAAAGTAATCGTTATGCGGAAAATCGCTATGCGATGCCATCGTTATGCGGGGGTCCACTGTATTTAGGCGTACTAGTACATCAAAAACCCTGGGTCGTAAGCCGTACTAGTACGGCCGAAACCCTCAAAGGGTTAAAGGAACAGGAGGTACAGATACAGCAGGGCCCCGCTTTACTACGTTTCACTTTAAACGGCGCTCCGCAAATACGGTCATTTCAAATTATGACCAAAACTCGCTGTAACGGCTCCCCCCACCTGACTTTCTAATATGGTCACCTGCGCCCCACCCAGTTTGTTTAACATCTTCGTGACTCATAAGCACTAGTCCTCTCCATTTGTCTGGAAACTCCAAAATTTCAAATGTTTTTAAAGTTATTTCATATTTTATATATACCTGATAATTATCTTATGTATACCTGTACTAAATAAACTTACATACTGTGCTGGCATGCAGGTACATATTAAAATCAGTAAGAGTGTCTTATGTCTCCAGACGTCATATTAGTAATGATGATAATAATCATCGAGTCTCATTTAAATGTCGTATATTACGTTAAATACACATTTTCATTAATCCATCTATGATATTTTTTTCAAAATTATATAATAAACACGATACATAACATAAAAAGATGATAAATACAACCCATAATAGAATAAATAAACATAAATATGAGATGTGGTAGCAGACGACTTGCACAAGTGACGCCATATTAGAAATAATAATAATAATAATAATCATCGAGTCTCATTAAATGTTGTATATTACGTTAATATACACATTTTCATTATTCCATCCATGATATTTTTTTCAAAATTATATAATGAACACGATACATAACATAAAAAGATGATAAATACACCCTACAATAGAATAAATAAACATAAATATGAGATGTGGTAGCCAGATAACTTGTACAAGTGACTCCAAGAATAACATTTTCTCTAATCTAACATAAGAGAAAATGTGTTACTGGGGGTAACTAAAGAAAATTATTCCTTACGTATGTATATAAGTAAGTTTATACAGGTATACACAAATACAGTTACATAGATTATCATACATAACAACATATGTGTAGAGAACCTAGGATAACCCAAAAAAGTCAGAGTGACTTATTTCCATTGCCTTCACTCAGAGCATCATTTCTTCTCAAAATGATGTTATATGAGAATGGGAGTGTTGTTCTTTATTTATTCTACCGTATCAATGTAGAGACAACCTGTACACAATGTAACTTGTACACAAACCAGACGTGTACACTTTGTTTACAAAACTTACCTTCGCCTGGTTTGTTTACATAACTCTGCGCCTGTACTCTCTCATGCACTCATTCTTTCTCTCTCTCATTTATTCGTTTTATCTCATTTACTTACTCCTGACCCTACATTAAGACTACAAATATTTTAAGGTAAGTAATGAGTGAACTGTTTATACATTTTATCGCTCTGGGATGCTTAAATGTAATAGAATATTATGTGTAGGTGGGTTGGCCTGGTATGGTGGCCCGGCTGACTACCATACATACCACACTTGATTTTTTACAATAAATACTACTCATCTCACCCTATATATTAAGGTAAGTAATGAGTGAACTGTATATACATTTTATTGCTCTGGGATGCTTAAATATCATAGAATTGTATGTGTGGGTGGGGTGGCCTGGTATGGTAGCCTGGTTGACTACCATACATACCACACTTGATTTCTTACAATAAATACTACTTGTCTCACCCTAGATTAAGACTATAAATATTTTAAGGTAAGTAATGAGTGCACTATGTGTGTATTGTACTTTTTTATTGTTTTTTGATGCCTGGTTCTATTGCTAACTTAATATATGTTAGTGTAAACTTGTTATCTAGTGTTTGTATGCATTTGTAAGTGGAAAAAAGGGTGTTCCACTTTGCGGCAGTTTCCGCTTTACAGCGGTAGCCTGGAACCTAACCAGCCGTATAAGTGGGGCCCTACTGTATGTTGTGCGACAGAGGTCCAGTGACTCTCAAGCTGGTCCTAGTGGCATTAACCCGTAAACGGTCCAGGCGGATCTACGTTCACATGTGTAGTGCTACAAAAGTAGATCTAAGTTTTTTTTACATATTTTCAAATATAGAAAAAACAAAAAGAAGATCTACTTTTTTACATACTTTCAAATGTTGAAAAAACGTATATATACGTTTGGACCGTTTACGGGTTAAAAGAAGAAGGGAAGTAACCCCGGAAAAGGACTTGACACCTCAAGTCCTAATGGAAGGGGATTCCCCTTCTAAACACTAACACAATCCACACTCTCCCCTCCTCCCATCCCGTCAATCATCACCAGATCTTCAATAAAAGTAAGTGTCATGTAATTGTACATGTCTTCTTCAGTTTGTGTGTATTAAAATTAATATTTCATGTGGTAAAAATTTTTTTTTTCAATACTTTGGCGTGTCAGGAACGGATTAATTTTATTTCCATTATTTCTTATGGGGAAAATTAACTTGACTAATGATAATTTCGACTAACAGTGAGCTCTCAGGAACAGATTAATATCATTGGTCGAGGGTCCAATGTATATGCAAAATGCAACATCTGTAAACTTCTTAAATTTATGTTTTCCTGTTTCCTTCTAGGTGGAGATTTTGGGTCTTTATGACCGCAAAATGAAATCATACAGGTTGTTTGCATCTGAACCCGAGCCTGGCAGCTCATCACGACAAAGATTTGTACGCATCTTAAAGCCGCTTGAGCGAGTGGTTCACACTAATGCCATAATTCTTTGCGACCAGTCTGTCGACCGAAATTGTTTATACAACATGAATTATGGAAAGGTATGATGTAACACATGTTTTATAGCTTGAAATATCATTTGTTAATGGTGAATAGGCTAGTTTGTTTTTTTTCACATCTAAGCATGCTGGAAATTAAAAATATATGAATTTGTAATTTTCAGACCTTCGAAGTAAAATTTAGGTTGTGTACGAATGGTACGAATGGTAACATGTTAAAAGTTCATGATTCCTTTGCACTTACTGGAAAACTGGTTTAATGTGCAGAAAATATCTAATTGTTGTTTGTTTTTTTATTTCATTATTGACCATTTTTGTTAGTGTATTTCCTGTATACTGTTTGACAGTTTCATATGATAATAAGTCTGGGTAGTCCCATAATGTAATGCAAGTTTTAACCCTTTCAGGGTCCCCAGAGACTTGTTCTCAGGGTCGCCCAGATTTAAAAAAAAAATTATTTTTTCCTTTGAAAAAATAGAGAATCTTTTCCCGATCATAATGACACCAAAAGTATGAAATTTGATGAAAAACTTACGGAATTATGCTCTTGCGAAGTTAGCGGTCTCGCTGATGTTTACGCATCGGTGATTTCACCCAATTTGAGCCCTATTTTTGGCCAATTCCAGTGTACTAATTGACAGAAATCATAACTATTTCACTAGAATTCCATTTTTTCCAAAAAAATGAGTACAAGAAACCACCCATTTACCAATTTCAACTATCCAATACAGTGGTCAGAATTTAGCAATTTTGCCAATTTCACACAAATTTCAAAAGATGCCAATTTCCAAATAGGGTCCAGAATAAACAAGAAAGACATTCCTGGCACTAAAATAACATTTCCTCTGTTCATTAGTCATGTCTCCATGCCCCTCTTACATTCTTTTGCTTTCTACTTTGAATTTTTATTCTCACAAAAAATAGAAGATTTACTGTTATGCAAACTACTGCATTAGTGTAGAAATGGTATTAATAATATCAGCGCACTTGGGAAAGAATATTAGATTCACCAGTTGACGTGTATTGGAGGCTTAGCATGATTTGTTTACTTTTGAACTTCGGTAAAAATCGAACATTTCTGCTACTTTGAGCTCAATTTCAAGGTACTTTTCATTGTAAAACCAGTCAGAATCATCTCAATTTCTGTAATGTCTTCCATTCTATAAAATGAGACCAGGAAAACTAGAATGCAACAATAAATACCACATGAAAATACACTGCAAAGTCGCTGTTTTAACCCAAAAACACGGTCAGTTTTTTTTTTTATTACGCACTGTGTGCTGCAGGATTTTTTTTGTACTGCACACCACTGACCGCATACTTCTATTAGCTTCCATTTGCCCACCATGATTTGTCGCTAGATTTAGGGCGTAAATTACGTACTCAAACCCGAAAAACCCCGTGCCTAAACCCCTAAGAGTTAGTGTACCTGTGGCAGAGATAGGAGACAGATAGAGAGACCTTGAAATTATATAAATGTTGGGAAAGATTATTAGATAGATGAGGGGAATGCAGATCCGAACCCCATTGTTTTGACATAGGGAAGTGATAATGAGACAATATTGTTTGCAGCTGCGAAGCTTTGGGTAAAACATTTAAGCTGCACACAAACAAGGGAGGAGACTGCTGTAGGGGGGAGAGGTAGGGAAAAGGGGGAGGAAATGAGAAGAAGGAGTTGAAGGAGTTGGAGAATTTGGGGAAAAGGGGGAAGGAAAAAAGGATTGAAATGAATATAGAAGGAGTGGAGGAGGAGGGAAGAATTAAGAAGAGAAGAAAGGAGGAGGAGAAGGAGAAAAGGAGAGGGAAAAAAAGAAAGAAGTAAAGGGTTGGGAGTGGGTGACAGAAGGAGAAGGATGAGGAGAAACAAGAAGGATGAAGGAAAAAGGTGAAGGAGAAGAGAAGGAGAAGGAGGGGAAAGAAGTAGAGGAGCAAGGAGAAGAAGAAGGAGAAGAATGAGGAAAGAAGAATAGAGGGAGAAGGAGAAGGAGTGAAAGGGAAGGCGAGGAGAAGGGGGCGGAGGAGAGAAGGAGGAGGAGGAGAAGGGAAAGGGGAAGGAGTGGGAAGAGAGGAGGGGGATTGAGGGAAGAGGGGAAAGGGGGTGGGAGAAGAAGTATAGGAGAAGGCTGAAGAGGAGGGGAGGAGAAAGGGTGAGATGAGAAGGGGGAAGAGGATCAAGAGGAGGTTAGGGGGTGAGAGAAAGTTGGGGAGGAGAAGGGGGGAAGGAGTGCCGAAGAGGTGGGAGGGAGGAAGGAGGAGGAGGGGAGAAGAAGAGGAGTAGGAGAGCAGGAGGCGGACGGGAGAGGAGGTAAATGGAGAGAAGGTGGGGCGAGAAGGAGGGAGAATAAAAAGAGAGGAGTAGGAGGGGAGAGGAGAAGAAGAGGAGGAGGAGGAGGGAGAAGGAGGAGGAGGAGGCGCATTAAAGGAGGGGAGGAGTAGGATAGGAGGAGGAGAGTTGTACTGAGTGCGAAGAGAAGGGTAGGAGGAGGATGGTGAAAGTGTGAAGGATGATGAAAGTTTTTAGGAGGGACCGGGTGAAGAGAGCGAAGGTGTTAAAAACGAAAAAAAAATAATAAAGGGGAAAGGAGAGAATCTTCCTCTTATGCCAGTGAGGTGAAGAGGCAAAAATGGGGAAAGGGGAGTAACCTTCGTGTAATTAAAAGGAGAAACTTTTGTTCCTAAATGGGCCCGCTCGGGGGATACAGCAGGTTTGTTGAAAGGGAAAAAAAAACTAAAATTAAATAGTTATGATTTATAGGAGGGGGCTTGCCGGAAGAAGAAAGTAATGGAAAGGAAGCATGAGCAGGATGACAGTTCATGCCTTGGACTATTTTCACGTACACATTGTTCAACACTGATTTCTGGTGTGTAAAAATAAAAAAGGAGGCGGAGGGAGGAGGGAGAAAGAGAAAAGGGGGGGGGGGGGGGGGGGGGGGGGGGCGGGGGGGGGGGGGGGGGGGGGGGGGGGGGGGGGGGGGGGAGGGGGGAGAAAAAGGGGAGAAGGGAAAGGAGGGAAGGGAAGGGGAAAAGGGGGGGGGGGGGGGGGGGGGGGGGGGAAAAAAAGGGGGGGGGGGGGGGGGGGGGGGGGGGGGGGGGGGGGGGGGGGGGGGGGGGGGGGGGGGGGGGGGGGGGGGAGGGGGGGGGGGGGGAGGGGGGAAAAAAAAAATTTTTTTTTTTTTTTTTTGGTTTTTTAACCCCTTTTGGGAAAAAATTTTGTTTTTTTTTTGTTAGGTTTTTAAAGATGTTTATAAACATTCACCTTTTCTTTGGCCATAGGCCACATAATTATGTGGAAAAATAAAATATGAAAAAACAAAAAAACCAAACAAGTAAAATAAAGTTTACCGGTGGGGGCACCCCTTTCCAAAAGCGGCCTTTTTTTTAACTTCACGGCTCTATTCTCGGAATACCCATGGGAAAAATTTTTTTTTGGGCTAAAACCTCAAAAAATAACTTAACATTTATAAGAAAAATAATTTTTTTTTTTTTAATATTTGGCGAAAAGAATGACATTTAGAGAGGGGCCTAACGGCGAAAGAATGACAGTTTCAGAGAGGGCCGAAACGCAAAGGGTAATCAAAAAATCAGATTTTATTTTTTTTCTTCTTATACCAGTGTCTGCGGACGTTTTAGGGGCCACATACCCCATGAGTATTCTCTCTATCTGGCCCAAATTACCCCTCACAGTTTATCAGAGGACTGACCATGGCGTAGATCTACGGTTTGGACCTACCTAAAAACCCTAGACTCGGGCGGGGCCCTGAAAGGGTTAAAATGTTGTAATTGATGTGAATTTTCTGTTCTTTTTATTTTCTATAAAAGCTTTGAGGAATTTATTAATTTTTTATGATAATTTTTTCAGTAAAAACAAGCTTGATTTTTATATAAAAGTATTTGATCTCTAAATTTTTGCTGAAGCAAATTTGAATATGAATTTGCTTTGAAACAAAGGGCACTGTTTGCCTTTTTACTCTGGGTTTTTAGTCTCAAGTTTTGGGAAAAAGAAAGAAAAGTCAAGTGTTGTTGTGAATTTGGGGAAGGGGTGTAAAGGAGAAAGTTGAAAATGAATAAGATAGGAGTGAGGTGATGGGGTATCAAAAATTTAGATAAAAAATTGGATTCACATTTGGGGAGAGGGAGTAGGAGAAATGAATGTTTTTGATTTTGGGAGTTGGCGTCAGAGATGGGGATGAAGGAGAGGGAAACCATAGAATTGATGAAGGAAAAAAGGTGGTGGTGTGTTGAGGGATCTGGGGGGACAAAGAACGTTATTCATGGTGGCAAAGAGGGAATGTATGAAGTATGGGTACCAACACCTTATAGGGTGTCAAACTGAGTTGAAATGCTGCAGCGAGGAGGCGGCTGGGGGCAATGGAGTTCATGTCTAAGGGGGAAAGTGGGCGAAATATTATGCAGAGAATCGTAGTGTGGAAATTAGGGGGAGGTGTGGGGTTAAAAAGTATTAGCAGAAGGCCCAAGAGGGGCTGTTTAGATGGTTTGTCTTTTAAAAGAATGGATAAAAATAGTTTTTTTGGGAAAATGTATAAAAACTGTTGGGGAAAGGAAAGAGGGGTTGGGGTTGCCCGAATAGGTTAAGGGAGGGGGGTAAAAGGGGGTTTTGTGAGGAAGGCTTGGGTTCCAGCAAGCGTGCCTGGTTTTTTTTAGGGAGTAAAGGAGACAATGTTTTTGGGGGCCATGACCCTTTTAATATGAGCAGGGGTTGAGGGAAACCAGTTAGGTGGACTGGTCCCCGGAAATGGGAAGAGTCCTGCACTTTAAAAGGGGAAGTTTAGGATATTGGCAGTTTGGGGGCGTCAATTGTTGTTCTGAGGCCTTGCAAAGACAGGATTATTAAAGTGTGTGAAAGTGTTGAATGATATGAAAGTTTTTTTTTTTTCTTTTTGGGGCACCCTGCCTTGGTGAGAAACACTGAAAGTGTTAAAAACAAAATACAATTAATCCAATGGGGAAAATGGAACGAATTCTTCCCTTTTTTCATGTGTGTTGTAAAGGCAATAAAATGCCGGGGAAAGGGGGTAGTAACCCCTTCTCCTGTGTATATTACTAAATTTAAAAGGAGAAACTTTTGTTTTTCCTATTGGGCCATCCTGTCTCGGTGGGATACAGCAGGTTTGTTGAAAGAAAAACAACAACAACTAAAATTTACAGTAGTTCTTATGATTTTATAGCGAGTCTTTGCTCTGACACTGATATTAGCTACAGAAATAGTAATGAAACAGTGACAAGCACATTGACAGGTGAACATGTTCATCTGCCTTGGTCACATACATTTTTCACGTACACATTGTTCACATACACTACATCTTTCTTGTGTGCTTTTTTTTTTAAATTTGATTTTTTTTTTTCAACAAGTGGGCCGTCTCCCACCGAGGCAGGGTGACCCAAAGAGAAAATCCCCAAAAAGAAAATACTTCCATTATTATTCAACACTTTCACCTCACTCACACATAATCACTGTTTTTGCAGAGGTGCCCAGAATACAACAGCTTAGAAGTATATACAATATATCTCTCCTAACTGCCAATATCCCAAACCCCTCCTTTAGAGTGCAGGCATTGTACTTCCCATTTCCAGGACTCAAGTCCGGTTATATAAAATAACCGGTTTCCCTGAATCCCTTCACTAAATATTACCCTGCTCACACTCCAACAGATTGTCAGGTCCCAAATACCATTTGTCTCCATTCACTCCTATCTAACATGCTCACACATGCTGGAAGTCCAAACCCCTCACCCACAAAACCTCCTTTACCCCCTCCCTCCAACCTTTTCGAGGACAACCCCTACCCCGCCTTCCTTTCCCTACAGATTTATTCGCTCTCCATGTCATTCTACTTTGATCCATTCTCTCTAAATGACCAAAGCACCTCAACAAACCCTCTTCAGCCCTCTGACTAATACTTTTATTAACTCCACACCTTCTCCTAATTTCCACACTCTGAATTTTCTGCATAATATTTACACCACACATTGCCCTTAGACAAGACATCTCCACTGCCTCCAACTGCCTCCTCACTGCTGCATTCACAACCCAAGCTTCACACCCATATAATAGTGTTGGTACTACTATACTTTCATACATTCCCTTCTTTGTCTCCATAGATAACATTTTTTGCCTCCACATATACCTCAATGCACCACTCATCTTTTTTCCTTCATCAATTCTATGATTAACCTCATCCTTCATAAATCCATCCGCTGACACGTCAACTCCCAAATATCTGAAAACATTCACTTTTTCCATACTCCTCCTCCCCAATTTGATATCCAATTTTTCTTTATCTAACTCATTTAATACTCTCATCACGTTACTCTTTTCTATGCTCACTTTCAACTTTCTACCTTTACACACACTCCCAAACTCGTCCACTAACCTTTGCAATTTTTCGTTAGAATCTCCCATAAGCTCAGTATCGTAGCAAAAAGTAACTGTGTCACTTCCCATTTTGTATTTAATTCCCCATAATTTAATCCCACCCTTCTCCCGAACACCCTAGCATTTACTTCTTTTACAACCCCATCTATAAATATATTAAACAAGCATGGTGACATTACACATCCCTGTCTAAGACCTACTTTTACTGGGAAGTAGTCTCCCTCTCTTCTACACGCCCTAACCTGAGCCTCACTATCCTCATTAAAACTCTTTACAGCATTTTAGTAACTTACCACCTATTCCATATACTTGCAACATCTGCTACATTGCTCCCCTATCCACTCTATCATATGCCTTTAAAATATGAAATATTATTGCAGGTTAGTGTCTGTGAAACCAGTGATAATGAAGAGAACCTTCAGTCTAATGCGAGAATTATGTCATACTTGCGGAGACATGTTCCCAAGATGTTCCAGGTAGGTTCCTTTTTTTTAGTGCGTTGTGGTGTACATGTTCCCAAGATGTTTCAAGTAGGTTCCCTCTTTTAGTGTTTGTCTGTATTTCAAGCCTTGGCAAAGTTAGTCTAGCATAAAAAAAAAAGGTTAACTATTAACCCCTTAACTGTCCAAGCTTAAATCTATGTTCTCACTGCCAGTGCTCCAAATATTTTGATTGTTTTTTTAAATTAAAGAAGGAAATTTTCTGTGTGTAAGAATACCAAAAAAAAAAAAAAAAATTAGGGTCAGTACTTACTGATAACAAAAAAATTAGGTAATCAAAGATTGGATATCAGATTGGAAGGAGAAAGTATGGAAGAGGTAAAGGTATTCAGATATTTAGGAGTGGACGTGTCAGCAAATGGGTCTATAAAAGATAAGGAGAAAAAGGTGACTGGTGCACTGAAGAGTCTGTGGAGACAAAGAACTTTGTTCATGGAAGCGAAGAGGGGAATGCATGAGAGTATAGTTATACCAACGCTCTTATGTATGTGTGAAGCATGGGTGGTGAATGTTGCAACAAGGAGAAGGCTGAAGGCAGTGGAGATGTCATGTTTGAGGGCAGTGTGTAGTGTGAATATAATGCAGAGAATTCGTAGTTTTGAAATTAGGAGGAGATGCAGGATTACCAGAACTATTATCCAGAGGGCTGAGGAGGGGTTGTTGAGATGGTTCAGATATGTAGAGAGGATGGAACAAAATAGAATGACTTCGAGAGTGTGTAAATCTATAGTGGAAGGAAGGTGTGGTAGAGGTTGGCCTAAGAAAGGTTGGAGGGAGGGGTAAAGGAAGTTTTATGTACGAGGGGCTTGGACTTCCAGCAAGCATGCATGGGCATGTTGGACAGGAGCGAATTGAGACAAATGGTTTTTTAGACATGACGTGCTTTGGAGTGTGAGCAAAGTAACATTTATGAAGGCTGGACTCGAGTCCTGGAGATGGGAAGTACAGTGACTGCACTCTGAAGGAGGGGTGTTAATGTTTCAGTTTGATAATTGTAGTGAAATTGCACCTCTGGCAAGACAGTGATGGAGTGAATGATGGTGAAAGTTTTTCTTTATTGGGCCTCCCTTCCTTGGTGGGAAACAGCCAGTGTGTTAATGAAAAAAAAAAACTTGCCAAGATATAAAGCCGTAAAGTTGGCGTTGGATGCTCACCTGACGGCAACATGGAGTCCTGCCATTTGCAGAAATGTTGCCGATATACCTTTTTTTTTTTTTTAATTTATATAATTTTTATGTTCTCATAATTACAATTTGTGTAGGTAGTAGTTGGTAGACAGCAACCGCCCAGGGAGGTACTACCGTCCTGCCAAGTGAGTGTAAAACGAAAGCCTGTAATTGTTTTACATGATGGTAGGATTGCTGGTGTCTTTTGTCTGTCTCATAAATATGCAAGATTACAGGTAAGTCTTGCTACTTCTACTTACACTTAGGTCACACTAAACATACATGTACAAGCATATATATACACACCCCTCTGGGTTTTCTTCTATTTTCTTTCTAATTCTTGTTCTTGTTTATTTCCTCTTATCTCCATGGGGAAGTGGAACAGAATTCTTCCTCTGTAAGCCATGCGTGTCGTAAGAGGCGACTAAAATGCCGGGAGCAAGGGGCTAGTAACCCCTTCTCCTGTATATATTACTAAATTTAAAAGGAGAAACTTCAGTTTTTTCTTTTGGGCCACCCCACCTCAGTGGGATACGGCTGGTACATTGAAAGAAAGAAGAATTACAATTTGTGTAGGTAGTAGTTGGTAGACAGCAACCGCCCAGGGAGGTACTACCGTCCTGCCAAGTGAGTGTAAAATGAAAGCCTGTAATTGTTTTACATGATGGTAGGATTGCTGATGTCCTTTTTTCTGTCTCGTGAACATGCAAGATTTCAGGTACATCTTGCTACTTCTACTTACACTTAGGTCACACTACACATACATGTACAAGCGTATATATACATACCACTCTGGGTTTTCTTCTATTTTCTTTCTAGTTCTTGTTCTTGTTTATTTCCTCTTATCTCATGGGGAAGTGGAACAGAATTCTTCCTCCGTACATCATGCGTGTTGTAAGATGCAACTAAAATGCCGGGAGCAAGGGGCTAGTAACCCCTTCTCCTGTATATATTACTAAATGTAAAAGGAGAAACTTTCGTTTTTTCTTTTGGGCCATCCCGCCTCGGTGGGATACGGCCAATGTGTTGAAAGAAAGAAAGAGTAGGTTGGTAGACAGCAACCTCCCAGGGAGGTACTACCGTCCTGGCAAGTGAGTGTGGAATGTAAGCCTGTAATTGTTTTACATGATGGTAGGATTGCTGGTGTCCATTTTTCTGTCTCATTAACATGCAAGGTTTCAGGTATGTCTTGCTACTTCTACTCACACTTAGGTCACACTACGCATACATGTACAAGCATATATGTATACACCCCTCTGGGTTTTCTCCTATTTTCTTTCTTGTTCTTTTTTTTTTTATTTATTAACACACTGGCCGATTCCCACCAAGGCAGGGTGGCTTGAAAAAGAAAAACTTTCACCATCATTCACTCCATCACTGTCTTGCTAGAAGGGTGCTTTACACTACAGTTTTTAAACTGCAACATTAACACCCCTCCTTCAGAGTGCAGGCACTGTACTTCCCATCTCCAGGACTCAGGTCTGGCCTGCCGGTTTCCCTGAATCCCTTCACAAATGTTACTTTGGTCACACTCCAACAGCACGTCAAGTATTGAAAACCATTTGTCTCCATTCACTCCTATCAAACACGCTCACGCATGCCCGCTGGAAGTCCAAGCCCCTCTCACACAAAACCTCCTTTACCCCCTCCCTCCAACCTTTCCTAGGCCAACCCCTACCCCGCCTTCCTTCCACTACAGACTGATACACTCTTGAAGTCATTCTGTTTCGCTCCATTCTCTCTGCATGTCCGAACCACCTCAACAACCCTTCCTCAGCCCTCTAGACAATAGTTTTCGCAATCCCGCATGTCCTCCTAACTTCCAAACTAAGAATTCTCTGCATTATATTCACACCACACATTGCCATCAGACATGACATCTCCACTGCCTCCTGCCTTCTCCTCGCTGCAACATTCAACACCTATGCTTCACACCCATATAAGAGCGTTGGTAAAACTATACTCTCATACATTCCCCTCGTTGCCTCCAAGGACAAAGTTCTTTGTCTCCACAGACTCCTAAGTGCACCGCTCACCTTTGTCCCCTCATCAGTTCTATGATTCACTTCATCTTTCATAGACCCATCCGCTGACACGTCCACTCCCAAATATCTGAGTACATTCACCTCCTCCATACTCTCTCCCTCCAATCTGATATCCAATCTTTCATCACCGAATCTTTTTGTTATCCTCATAACCTTACTCTTTCCTGTATTCACTTTTAATTTTCTTTTTTTACATACCCTACCAAATTCATCCACCAACCTTTGCAACTTCTCTTCAGAATCTCCCAAGAGCACAGTATCTTCAGCAAAGAGCAACTGTGACAACTCCCACTTTATGTGTGATTCTTTATCTTTTAACTCCACACCTCTTGCCAAGACCCTCGCATTTACTTCTCTTACAACCCTATCTATAAATATATTAACCACGGTGACATCACACATCCTTGTCTAAGGCCTACTTTTACTGGGAAATAATCTCCCTCTTTCCTACATACCCTAACTTGGGGAAGTGGAACAGAATTCTTCCTCCATAAGCCATGCGTGTTGTAAGAGGTGGCTAAAATCCCGGGAGCAAGGGGCTAGTAACCTCTTCTGTATATATTACTAAATGTAAAAAGAGAAACTTCAGTTTTTCCTTTTGGGCCACACCGCCTCAGTGGGATATGGCTGGTGCATTGAAAGAAAGAAAATTACAATTTGTGTGGGGAGTAGGTTGGTAGACAGCATCCACCCAGGGAGTACTACCGTCCTGCTAAGTGAGTGTAAAACGAAAGCCTGTAATTGTTTTACATGATGGTAGGATTGCTTGTGTCCTTTTTTCTATCTCATAAACATGCAAGACTTAAGGTACGTCCTGCTACTGTTACTTACACTAAGGTCACACTACACATACATGTGCATGCATATATATACACACCCCTCTGGGTTTTCTTCTATTTTCTTTCTAGTTCTTGTTTATTTCATCTTATCTCCATGGGGAAGTGGAACAGAATTCTTCCTCCATAAGCCATGTGTGTTGTAAGAGGTGACTAAAATGCCAGAAGCAAGGGGCTGGTAACCCCTTCTGTATAAATTACTAAATTTAAAAAGAGGAACTTTTGTTTTTCTTTTTGGGCCACCCTGCCTTGGTGGGATATGGCGGGTTTATTGAAAGAAAAAAAAATACAATTTGTAGTAGCTCTTGTGATTTCATAGCCAATGTTTGTTCTGATACTAATATTAGGTACTGAAATAGTACTCAGATAGTCACAAACACACTGACTGGTGAAAATTTTCACCTGCTTTGGTCACCTACTGTCTAGAAATATATATATATTTTTTTTAACAAGTCGGTCGTCTCCCACCAAGGCAGGGTAACCAAAAAAGAAAGAAAATCCCCAAAAACAAAATACATGTATGTACTTTTATCATCATTCAACACTTTCACCTCACTCAATCACCGTTTTTCCACAGGTGCTCAGAATACAACAGTTTAGAAGTATATACATATAAAGATACACTATATATCCCTCCAAACTGCCAATATCCCAAAACCCCTCCTTTAAAGTGCAGGCATTGTACTTGCTATTTCCAGGACTCAAGTCCGGCTATATAAAATAACCGGTTTCCCTGAATCCCTTCACTAAATATTAACCTGCTCACTCCAACAGTTTGTCAGGTCCCAAATACCATTCATCTTCATTCACTCCTATCTAACATGCTCACGCACACTTGCTGGAAGTCCAAGCCCCTCGCTCCTGAAACCTCCTTTTCCCCCCCTTCCTCCAACCTTTTCGAGGACGACCCCTACCCCGCCTTCCTTCCCCTACAGATTTATACGCTCTCCATGTCATTCTACTTTGATCATCCATTCTCTCTAAATGACCAAAGCACCTTAACAAACCCTCTTCAGTCCCTCTGACTAATACTTTTATTAACTCCACACCTTCTCCTAATTTCCACACTCCGAATTTTCTGCATAATATTTACACCACACATTGCCCTTAGACAAGACATCTCCATTGCCTCCATCCGCCTCCTCGCTGCAGCATTTACAACCCAAGCTTCACACCCATATAAGAGTGTTGGTACTACTATACTTTCATACATACCCTTCTTTGCCTCCATAGATAACATTTTTTGTCTCCATATATACCTCACTGCACCACTCACCTTTTTTCCCCTCATCAATTCTATGATTAACCTCATCCTTCATAAATCCATCCGCTGACACATCAACTCCCAAATATCTGAAAACATTCACTTCTTCCATACTCCATACTTCCATACCCTCATCACCTTGCTCTTTTCTATGTTCACTTTCAACTGTCTACCTTTACACACACTTCCAAATTCGTCCACTAACCTTTGCAATTTTTCTTTAGAATCTCCCATAAGCACAGTATCATCAGCAAAAAGTAACTGTGTCACTTCCCATTTTGTATTTGATTCCCCATAATTTAATCCCACCCCTCTCCCGAACACCCTAGCATTTACTTCTTTTACAACCCCATCTATAAATATATTAAACAACCATGGTGACATTACACATCCTTGTCTAAGACCTACTTTTACTGGGAAGTAGTCTCCCTCTCTTCTACACACCCTAACCTGAGCCTCACTATCCTCATGAAAACTCTTTATAGCATTTAGTAACTTACCACCTATTCCATATACTTGCAACATCTGCTACATTGCTCCCCTAGCCACTCTATTATATGCCTTTTCTAAATCCATAAATGCAATAAAAAGCTTCCCTACCCTTTTCTAAATACTGTTCACATATATGCTTCAATGTAAACACTTGATCTTCACATCCCTTACCCACTCTAAAACCTCTTTGCTCATTTGCAATTCTGCATTCTGTCTTACCTCTAATTCTTTCAATAATAACCCTACCGTACATTTTTTCTGTCTCATAAACGTGCAAGATTTCAGGTACGTCTTACTACTTCTACTTAGGTCACACTACACGTGCTTGTTCAAGTATACGGTACATACATATTTTCCTATTAGTCCCTGTTCTTGTTTATTTCTGCTTATTTCCATAGGGAAGGGGAACAGAATTCTTCTTCCGTAAACCATGCCTGTCATAATAGGCGACTAAAATGCCAGGAACAAGGAACTAGTAACTGCTTCTCCTGTATATTGTTAAATTTAAAAAGAAAAACTTTTTTTTTGGGGTGGGGGGCTTGCTTCATTGGGATACAGCCAGTGCATTGAAAGAAAGAAAGAAAGAATTGTTAAGACATTTTGCAATTGCAACTAAAAATATCAATTTTGTGTAAAACTAAACTGTATTTAATAGCAGTGGTTGTCTATCCTTCCATCCTATTTATCCTATGGTAACTGAATAATGCAATTGTTAGCTGGGGAGTGTGGAGGAACAAGTACATGACCCCAGTATTGTAGTTGCACCTTCACTGTTCACACTTTAACTGATTTTTTGGAATGAGACTGGATCTTTGGATCAAGTCTCATTCTAGCTGTGTGGATATTCAAGGCATAAGAAAGGATTCTAAAAACATTGTTTCCCTTTTTACATTCTAAAATTTACTAACCTGTACCGACTTATTCTCGAGTTAACCACATTGACAATGGGGCCTAACAATATTTTGTAAGCACTTGACCTGCTAAAGTTACCTTCATTACCAAACCATCACTAAGCTAATGACTGTCTCTCATCAATATCTTCATGCTTCTCATATAAAATTGCTCTTAATCAGTTTAATCCATTCTTTATAGTATTCTTTCAACAAACTGGCCATATCCCACCAAGTGTATTTTTATTTATTTTACATTTTCCAGAGTGCACTGTCGCAGCTAAACTTACAACAAGTTCAAGTGGTTTTAGATGAACTGTGTTGGCGCGAGCGTTACGGCCACTGTGCAGCTCAGGCATACGTCAACATGATTGATCATATCACATACCTTACAGCACGTGAAGCTGAAAGTAAGTTATGGCTGTTAATTGTCAGCTCAAATCTTTACTAATGATAACTTTATAATAATAACCCAGTTTGTTCATCTGCATGCTGGTCTACCCATCTTTAGGACATTACGTTATTTTCAACTTTTGCTCAGCAAGCCACTAAATGAGGCCAGTTGTTTCTATAAGTCTTGACATTGTTAATCCACAGGTGTCTCTACGTAACTGTGCATAGTTGTTATGATTGCAGCTGAGCTTCACACGAGTGTGTTGATTACGAAGTTAAGATTTTTCTAGCCTGGAGAGAGAGAGAAGCATAGGTCAGTCTGTAACTTATAATACAGTGCTTTGCCCATGGCCTGTAATAAGACATCTGGACTTGCATCCACAAATAATTTTCCTGTCACTTTGGTTTTTAGAATTACTTGTACGACAGATTATGAGCTCTCTTTCTCTGTGCTACTGTACTTTGAGTTTCCCATCGTGGGTATTCAGCTGGAGTAGGTTTGTTATTTGTGGTTTGTGAAATTTGAGCACAAACCTTATATTTTTATGAATGTTTACTTTGGAGCTCTTGTCATTTTGAGAAATCAACCCAAGAATTTCACCTTTTAGTGTGCTCTGATCAGGTGGTCAAGTCAGGTGAAGATGATCAGGTCAGATCTGGTGAGGAGTGATCTGTGATGTGTTGTGAATGTTTCTGTCCTCTGCTCAAGGATAATGTAGGCAGTGGGCTTTGCATGTGTACTTACCAGTGTTTTGCTTGATGGTTGATGAGGTGGACGGTGGCAGCTTCTAGATGCTTCCTTGTGGCTTTTTTCATCATTCTTGATTAATGAATCCTTCACTTCAGTTCATGGTGTCTGAATGAAGGCTCGATGGACATACAGACATTGACGTTATCAATCCCTCCCCTCTCAGTCTCTCTCTCTCTCTCTACCCCCTGTCTCTGTATATCTCTCCCTTTGTTTCTCTCTCTCTCTCTCTCTCTTTTTATTACACAGGGTTTTACAAGGTTAGGTTAAGGATTCCTAACTTTATTTATAAGCTAAGAGCTGTTATGTACATCAGCTCATGTAAAAGCCTTTTTATTGTTATGAGACATAGAGATAGGGAACAGGATGAAGTTGGAGCCATCTGTAGGCCAGTGATTTCATTTGATCAACTGACTTTATTTTGTTGATATCATTATGCTGTACAAACATGTTCCAGACTTGAGTCATCCTAGAAATATAATCTCAGATGTTGCGATGTTCTGGAGAAGGGTACAGTCAGAATGAAGTTGCTGCTTGCTGCCCTTCTTGTTGTATAGAAGCTCACTTCTCTCTGTCCTTGGAGTGGAGACAAGTATGGTACTTTTGACAATATTGGCCTTGTAAATAACAGTAAGACTACCCATATCCCTCCAGTGTTGAAGGCTCTGCTGAAATGACAGATCTGTCCAGGCTGTGTCCAGGTGAGAGATGAGGCATCTTGCTCTGTTCTCTACTCTGTCAAGAAGTTACAGATATGATGGAGGGCAGACAATCCAAGAAAGTGGAGCATACTCGTGGTGTGAGTGTGCTTGTGCCTCGTACAGAATCTTGCAGCCTCTACTGTTGAGCAGATGTGAGATACAGTGGAACCTCGGTTTTCATCACTAATTCATTCCAGAAAGTCTGACGAAAACCAAATTCGACAAAAACTGAAGCAATATTTCTCATAAGAAATAATGTAAATCCAATTAATCCGTTCCAGACACTCAAAAGTATTAAGAAAAAATACATTTTGTAGAGAATAACTATAGTTTTACATACAAAAAACAATAAGAAATAAATATAAAGGACTAATGAAATGGATAAATGAACATTTAAAATCACTTTTACCTTTATTGAAGACTTGTTGGCGTTTTGGAAGGGCAGGGAGAGGAGAGGGGGGAAAGGAGGGTTATTGGTTGGGGGGGGAACCCCTTTTTTTTTCCTTAAGGACTATATTTAAAAAAAGTCCCTTTTCCGGGGTTTTTTCAAGGGGAACCCCCTTCCAGCACAAAAGATTGCCCAAAGAATCTTTTTCGGCATCTCTTTAAAGTTTTTCCCAAAAATGAGACAAGACATTGTCATTGAAAAGGGTTTCAACACTGCTTGCAACAGCTTTGTTTTGGGTAATATTTCTCCACAAAACTTTGCAACTCACTCCACCCTTTTACATGTCTTTAAACACTGAAGAAGGCACATGGGTCCCTCTCTCTTTTCCCCTCCCCTGAGCAAAAATTTTTTTTACTGCGAATTTTGTTTTCTTTTTTCCAGTTGAAATTTTTTTGCAGCCTTCAGTTTGGTTTCTCTTCCCCGTGGCCATCTACCCAATCTTCTCAACTTGGCCCAAATTAAAATTTCCCAACCCTGTACCTTTTCTATGAGTTCTTTTTTGAATTTTATCGTGTTTTCGCCCCCCTTTAAACAAAGGTTTTGGGGACTTTTTGGGAAATTTCTTTTGGGCCCCCTGGGGGCTTTTTAGCAGTCGCACTCATAAACAAGCACAAAAAAAAATGGTTATTACAAAATGTTTCGGGTGAAAGTGCGGATAATGCTAAATCCCAAAAAGAAAACAAAGCCAGACCGACTCAGAAAGTGTGAGATGCTTTGTGTGGGCCCCGGGCAAAGGGGGACACTTAGGTACAAAGGGTGACCCAAAAACCCAGGTGATGAACAAAAACTGGGGGCCAAAATTTTTATGTAAAAAGCCCTTTAAAAAAAGAAATTCGACGAAAAACCCGGGGGGAAAAAGAAAAAACCCAGGTTCCCCAAAGTTTCATCGAAGTGCTGTAAGCTTCCTCTGTCTCCATTTTTTGTTTTTTTCCCCTCTCTTTTTTTTTTTTTTTTTTTTTTTTTTTTTTTTTTTTTTTTTTTTTTTTTACACAGGGTTTGACAAGGTTAAGGATCCCTAGCTTTATTGACAGCTATTTACAGGTTAAGGATTCCTAACTTTATTGGCAAGCTAAGAGCTGTTACTACATCAGCTCATTTGAAAGCATTTTTATTGTTATGAGACATACAAGTAGGAAACAGGATGAAGTTGGAGCCATCTGTGGGCCAGCATTTTCATTTGATCAACTGACTTTATCTCGTTGACATCATTATGCTGTACGAATGTGTTCCATACTCTAGTCATCCTGGGTATGTATGATCTCAGATGGAGTGATGTTCTGGAGAAGGGTACAGCCAGAGTGAAGTTGCTGCTTTCTGCCCGTCTTGTGGCATAAAAGCTTGTTTCACGCTGTCCTCGAAGTGGATCCAAGTGTGGTATTTTGACAATATTGGCCTTGTACATAACAGTAAGGCCACCCACATCCCTCCTATGTTGAAGGCTCTGCTGAAATGACAGATCTATCCAGGATGGGTCCAGGCGAGAGATGAGATGTCTTGATCTGTTCTCTACTCTGTCAAGCAGTCGCAGATGAGAGGGGGGCAGGCAAACCAAGAAAGTGGAGCATACTCAAGGTGCGAGCGTACTTGTGCCTCGTACAGGATCTTGCAACTCCTACTGTCAAGCAGATGGGAGATACGGTGAAGTGCTGTAAGCTTCCTGGCTGCCTTGTTTGCAAGATTTACAACATGGTTCTTCATGGTTAGTTTGGAGTAAAATTTCACCCCAAGGATATCAACTTCTTCTCCAGGTGCCAACATCCTCCCATTCATCCTTACTACTGCACCAGCATTACCATCATGGTGCCTAGAGACGATCATCATTTGCGTTTTCTCAGGTGCAAATGTTACTTGCCATCTATTTCCCCAAGCTGATATAGCTCTCAGCTAGTGATTGATGTAGCTTAGAGCAGTTGGCATTTCTTCTCTTGGATAAGTGAATGTCAGTGTACAGTCGTCTGCATATGCATGTGATTCTGGGATGAGATGAAGAAGGTCGTTGAAGTAGACATTCCATAACAATGGACCCAGCACGCTTCCTTGTGGAACACTTGCCCCAATAGGATGTCTTGCTGATTCCGTTCCATTGAGAACTACACTTAGAGATCTACCATGAAGGTAGTCACTGAGGAGACATAGCGTAGAGCCTGCAATTCCCAGTGCTTGAAGTTTTGCTAAGAGGCCCTGGTGCCACATCCGGTCGAAAGCGCCAGCAATGTCCAGTGCTACCACACAGCTGACTTTGGATTCATCCAGTGACTGGTGCCACTTAGTGGAGAGGTTTAACAACAGATCAGCAGAAGAGTAGCCTTTCCTGAAGCCATATTGACGATCACAAAGTAGTGAGTGGTAGTCAAAAAACTCTTTCATTTGTCTTGAGATTATTGTCTCAAGGATCTTACCAGTGATTGACAGAGTGACACTGGTCTGTAGTTGCTGATTTCTGCTCTGCTCTTCTTTTTGTGAACAGGGACTACATTTGCCTCTTTCCATAGAGAGGGCCATTTACACTGTACTAGGCAGTGCTGAAAGAAAGCGAGTTAGAGTGTGCTACCCCCCCGTCTCAC